GGCTGATGTGATCGTCTTGCCGCCAGAACTGTGAGCACTTGCCTTGGTTTCGGCAAATCGAATGTGTCCAGTAGGAGTTCCACTGATGTGTTTGGGCCTGGATTTAGCTTGTCAGTGCATTCGGTTTGTTTCAGCTGATTGACACGGCGCGCCCAATCGTCTGATCCGATGCGAATCTCGTAGGTGACGACGTCACCACATTTCCGGTGAGCACATCCAAGCGTCCACTTTTCTTGATTGTTCTTGCAGTCCTTTGCCGCCATCTTCTCAGCCGGTTGGGACGATCGTTGTTTTGCTCTACGACGTCGGTTGAATTGCCTTTCCACTGACGTCGGGTGGACTGTCTCATGATAAGCATCCTGTCGTCCTTCATCGAATGGCATGCAAGGCTTTCTCTGAATCAAAACTTTTGCAGTAGGGACACTGTTTGGAACATTCGGGATTAGCATGGTCCGATATTTCAGCAGGATTATTTCAAGAACTTCCTCTGTAGAACCTTCCCCTTTTGACTTCTGGGGAACCCGCTTGAACGTGCTGACGAGTCGTTCAACCTGTCCATTGAACTGCGGGTGAGATGGAGGCGAACGCAAGTCATCAAAGCCCGACTGCTTGCAGAACTTGGCGAAGGCGGTCGGTTGTCACTCATTGTCACTCAACAAAGATTCGTGACAACCAAATCTGCTGAACAGTCGCCGAAGAGGGTTGATTGTGACCCTTGTAATCACGCGTTCCAGGAGGAGGGCTTCCGATCATTTGTTGTATGCGTCGACGGCGACAAGGAAGTTCCGGCCATTGATTGGTCCAGCGTAAGCAATACGGATCCTGGACAACGGTATTGTGGGACAGGCCATGTCTTGAGTGTGTTCTTCGTTGAGGTCTTCAAGGCGAGGGCGCATTTTTTCATGAGCAGGCCAGTTTTTCAAATTGTTGGTCCATATGAGGCCAGTATATATTACTGCGTGTGGGAGCCCTCATGTGGTTGACGCCGGGATGTCCAATGTGAAAATGCCCTTGCTTTCATTTTCTTTGGAACAACCGCTCGTTCGTAGAACAGGATACAACCATTAACGACCAAAAGAGAGCGTCGTCGTCGTTGGTGGAACTGCTGTAGTTTTCTGGAAAGTTTTGTGGGCCACTGAGTGGAATGATGCCTAAGGACTTGTTTCAAAAGGGGATCCTGCCGTGTTTCGTTTCGAACTTTCTCAAAAGTGATAGAGAGCGCACGAAGGAAGCTCATAAACAGAATAAGAACCTCTGTTTAAACGAAGACAGACGTTATGGCTGTATCCTCCAGTTCGTTATTCCTTGAGTTGATTAGGCGCAAGAGTGCGTCGGCCTGATCTAGGATTGTGGTAGACTGGTACCGGATAACGAAGTCGCTGCCCAGAAACATGGTTGCCCGGCGCTGGAGACCATTTTCGAGTACACAAGAATGCCTATTTTCGAACCGAAAATTGCGAGAAGGGGTTAATGATCTGTTCGAGGAGTGACATGGTAGCCATAAAGCATCTTGTGAAACTTCTTCACGGCGAGGATAATGACCAAGGTCTCTTTCTCGATCTGTCCGTAGGTGCATTTCGCAGACGTTAGCGACCCTGCCACATGACAGATGGCTTTTTCTTTGTTGTAGAGGAAGACGTGAGAGTACGGCGCAAATTCAGTAGCTGGAGGCGTCCGCTGCAACGACAATATTTACATCGGGGTTGAAGTTTGTGCGCAAAAAGTCAGAGCTCAACACTGTTTTTACTTCCTCAAAGATTTGTTGACATTCTCGCGGTCAGGACCATATGACCTCTTTTGAGTAGATAATCAATTAGATGACGAAGACGGTTAATTTCCGGAAGGAACTAGTTGTAGTGATTCATGAGACCCGAGTAAGAACGCATCTGCTTGATGATTTAGATGTTATCAGGATCTGAGCGACGATCGTCTAGCTCGACTATGAACCCGAGGTATTTCATCGAAGGCAGGAAAAATTGCACTTACCCAGACCGAGGCGGCAGCCGTAGTCCTGAAGCCAGATTAATACGTTCTCCAGGCATCTGGGTTCGAACCAGTGAAATTGATATCATTCAGACAGGCAGCAGTCCTTTCGGTGCCCGTCAGCAAAGTCTGCTTGAAGAGGGCGAAAGTGAGTAGCATTTTCGCTTTTAGAATGCTTACGGAGGTTGAGATGCTCATGGTACAGGTCTCATCATTTTCATTTAACGACATATATTGCTGTTGTACTGAATAAAACTGAAATATCCGTAATCCAACACTAAATTTGAAATGTATCCAACATCTTGTAGCTCGTAATAACCCAATATTCCTGTGCCACCTCTGATGCACTCGTATCAGAATTTGAATTTCTGCTCCCCTTAACCGTGTAAACCAGAGAAATCTGCCAGAAAACAATTTCCAATAAATCTAACGAATATTAGTATGTATCGTCCTTTTAGCCGTCTGCTCGAGAAGTCTGTTCCGCACTCATTCACGGCAGAAAGTTTAATCTGGTTAAACTGCAAGGCGAATGGGAAGTGAGGACATTCACAATCTAAAATTCAACTAGAGACTTCGAAACTCTCAAAAAGTTGGGCAAGATACTACAGACTACTTTATGGGTTAACTGAAGCGGTTGTTCTCCACCGCAGTTGTTCTAAGCCAAGAAAACAACTGAGGAAGTCTTCTGTACAGACATTACTCTCATGTATTTATTTCTTAAAGATAATTGGCAAATTCTTATGAAAGAGGACGCAGCATTTGCGTGTTCTACGTCGTGCAATTTATCCTACATTCTACCCTTGCTTACCTAACCACTTTTATTCCCATAAAATATCTGCTTTGTCTGCTGTGATAAAGTGAACTTGGATATTATCTGCGTTTATTATCTTTCAGACATGCGAGTGTGCAGGCTCGATGAACGATTAAATCGGTAGTCGTAAGTGCATTAACGTACGAGCTTAGGATGGTTTACTGCGACATCAATATTCAACAAAAGAAATATTCTATTTTGAAGTGTTGTCTACTACATACAGTTAAGTAGGTATTATTGTGTGGGCCATGGCAACCGGCGTAGGGAGGGCAGTTTCGTCTGAACAGCAGAACTAACCGGTGTCAAACGTGACGTTTACATGGATATTATCCGCGTTTAATGTCTTCCAGACATCCGAGTGTGCAAAACTTTCAACTGCAGAAACCTCGATTGTTCACACCTTTGTTCACACCTCTGTTGATCGTGACCATCGCAGAGGCAGCCCTCTCCGTATGCACTCTCGAACCCAGCACAGGCGCTATTTTCATTACCTTTCGCCAAACATCAGACAGATAGAGGCATCACTTACAGATGTCGTCAAGTATGACAATTGAAAAATCGACTCACGCGCGCGTAACGTTATCGCTTATGCTCCTATTTCAAAGCCACCTCACCCTATCCCAGTCGGGCTGACTCCCGGCCACGTGACTGACAATCGGACGGCCACGCCTGTGTCCAGACAGGCGTCTTCGTCCTGCCTAACCACCCCCCTTCGGATAATGCAATACAGATGACAGCTGGACGCACATATAAATGCGGCTGACACCACACACCCCCTCTCGGGCAGGACTTAACACATGCCTTAACCAGGCCAGTGTGGATTGATATGAACTGAATAGTTAGCTGCATAACTTCATTCCCCTTGTGGATGCATGTTTGAAGTCAATAGAAGACGCCGGTCATCGGAATGAATAAAAAGAGAGCAAACAATAACTTTAATTGGCCAGGTGATTTGCACCCGCAGAAAAGTTGACGCAAACGAATTGGGTGGGAAAGTGGTTACTCCACCTTAATTGCTACTCTCAAGTAGTACGTCAGCCATTGTGCGCCAATATGCGTAAACATTTATAAATAATCACTTGCCAGAGGTACGTTGTTTCCATTGCACACGTCAGTGCTTTTCTGTGAAACAACATATCCGCCGCAAGATCCCCAACGATAACAGCATAACCGGAATCGATAGGTTAACTGATTTGGTGTTTATTGGCAAAACTTGAGAAACCATGACTTTCAGTGACAGAAAAATTAACGACAGCCTAACTTAAGTACCAAAATGGAATCGCTGGTTCTACTCAAGTAGAAACGTACGTACCGTGGTTGCTCACAGAGGAAATGGCCTACTAGCGAAAAATCAGGGAACAAAATATGATTACCTCGAACATGAGAGTTTCGAATTAGAATGGTGCAGGTCCGATGAACGATTAAATCGGCAGTCGTAAGTACATTAACGTACGAGGTTAGAATGGTTTCCTGCAACACAAATATGCTACAAAAGAAATTAGTCCATTTTGCAAAGTGTTGTCTACTACATACAGCGAAGTAGGTATTATTGTACATTACATGATAACCGGCAGAAGGGAGGGCAGTTTCGCCTGAACAGCAGAGTTAACTGGGCGTCAAACGTAACGTTCCCCATAATTCAAGATGGTCGAATGTTCTTCTTTCTCCTTCAGGTACTAACACGCCATACGCAGACGGCTGCTTCAATGTCATTGCAACTCGGTAGCATGCCGTAGACCTGTCTCGTACCGTCTGAAGTGAGGCATATAAACTTGTCAAAGCAGTAGACGTGAAACACTCACTTGTTGTAATTGTAATCTTGCTATATCCCATTCCATCCACCCGCCTGTCTGGGCTGCTGGTGATAACAAACGTTGTGCCAGAGGGCATACACCACATACATCAGTTGCAGGAAGGCAAGATCTTGTGCCTGCAGTTCAACATTGCAGAAATAAAACTGATGCAAGGATTAGTGAATAATTTCATCTGAAGGATGGCGCGTCAATTATTGTCTGAGATCACGTCCCTAAGTTGTCCGTCTTGCTGTACCAATTAAAGCAATTACTTCGGCAACGAAATCGCTGAAAGTAGCCAGCTGGTGTCAAATTAGGCGCCGAGAGTCATGCATAAGTCCAAAACTTACCTCCGTTTTCGCCATAGAACATACGGTCACCTGGCGTAAATTATAGTGCAGCACCCGCGAGACATGCAGTATAATGATGACGATGATGATGATGACGACGACGATGATGATGGTGGTGGTGGTGGTGGCGGCGGCGGCGGCGGCGGCGGCGGTGGTGGTGGTGGTGGTGGTGATCGCGAAGAAGAAGAAGTCAGTGCATTCGACATTCTCAAACGCGGAAGGATTTTTGTGCCAAAATTTGAGTTAAATATGAACGCCATTACCCCCAAAAAGTAAACCCTGCGCTTAGTGCCACAGTATTCTTGGGCGTTCTCCACTAATTTCATATTGGGTCAGCCAAACAAGTAGGACTGAATGACGTTAGAAGACTGTCCACAGCATCCACTATGACGCTCATTTTTAATGATTTAGAAAAGGGGGTTTGGCGGGCGACTTGATAATAACACAAATAGTGAGCTCAATTTGCAGAAAGCGAATGGAATAATACTTGACTATCACACTCGCGTTCTAGAATGCCGAATATGGAGTTAGAAGTTTCCTGGCATCTGGAAAATCAAAGAAGTGCAACGAGGTAGCTGCCGAGGAAACTGGGTACCTTGAAAAACGTCCTGTATAGCTACGTTAATCATTCCGAGGCCATGATCGAGGAAGATACCGCTCCGAGCAGAAATGAAATATGCAATAAGAGAAAAGACACTGGTAGAAACTCCCATCCAGCTTCATCTCACAAGCACACTTAAAGAGCAGAGCTCATGGTGGCGAGTGAGTTATTTCGTGCCGTTTCCGAAAGCAGGGGAAAGTATAAAATTCTCATTCACGGCCGTTTATGCCTTCAGAGAGTTAAACAAACGTACTGTTTTGCTAGGATCATGGAAAGTAAACTGAACAGTCTCTTGCCAATCCGGAGCCACAGACGCAGTGAAGCAGACCTCGTTCAAGCAAGCCGTTTATGTGAATCTAAGACAAGGTAAAATGGTATTCACCTTGATTGGCAGATGGGATACGAGCGAACCATTTTAACCAGGATCCCCAGTGCAGAACCATCCCAGGGGACTTTATAATGACGAGAAATGAGTATTCGGGAGGAGCGAGGGGGAGGAGGGGGAGAGGGAGGGGAGGGGGAGGAAAGAGGAGGACTACCGACCAAATGAGGGAGATCGGAATAGCCATTCCGGCCTATTTGCAGTCATCAGTTAGCCATAACCAGCCCGATACGGAAAGAGTCAGTGAAGGTCACATCGGTAGGATTGGAAAATTCTGAGCGCACCCGCGCGGACGCGGGTGCATAGTGCAGTGAGTTAATTTTAAGTAACCAAAGAGTGCAGATCTGAGTATCGAGTCCTACACTCTGCCCACAATGCGTTGGGATACGGCTGCCTGACAATGGCAGGCGACCCAGAAACGGCCCATCCAGTCTCCCACGGAGGTTTTCGGCAATACTTCTCAGGATCAAACTGGCTTTCCTGTCCTCATCCGACAGTTCAGCCGTTCATTCTGACGATGCCTACCGTGTGCTACACACTAAGGTACAACAGGCACGGCAATTTGCGCGTAAGTTGGTTTAAAGTGATAGTATACATGTGCAGCGTCTACCGCACTCTGTCTTCCCAACTCCGCACCTGGATCCGGCGTCAAGACAGAGTCAAGAAGACCGCAGGCGGTGGAGAACGCAGGTGACTGGCTCGGCCGGACCCGCACCTAGGCGTGTCACCACAGCCCCTAGTTCGCAACATACACTTGACCAGGATTTCTCATCACCAACAAAAAACAACACCCAATTGGGGGTCAGAAGGACGAAGATGACTGGGCAGCCATGCCTACCACCTGTATACCCAGTAGAAGCGCAAGCGCATCTGCCGGCAGGGAACCAGGCGCCGGAGGACTGCTAGCGCACACCAGGCCGCAAGGGCCATTGTTTGCTGATACTGACATAGCACTTACTTTCAGATCTTCTGACTGTCCTCACTCACCGAGACATGCACGCATGCAACGGCTGCCTTCGGCGATGTTGTCTGTTTTAGTCAATTACCAGCAAGATTGCCCTATGCAACTGATCCAGGCTACTTCCATAACTCTTCCTGTGGCCCCCACTGGTGTGCTATTCATTGAAAAAAAAAGTCGCCCATTCATCTGAATTCTTATTCAGTAGCGCGTCAGGGTAATACCCAACAATCTATGTTACACTCCTACAAACTCGGCAATGAACTCCACTGGTCAGGCTCACAACAGAAACGCAATAGGAGCGTGTCACGCCTGCTTGCATATACCCGCTGCGCTGAAGGGCCTGAAGAGCCGGTATTCTGCCCGAATGATAACCCCTGTTAGCCATAGAAAACAATATCAACTGGGTGCCTGAAGTTTACCAGAATCATTCTCCTTTCGTCTTTGGTTACGAAGCTGGAAGTGACTGGCATACTCCATCGAAGACCCTTAATGAGCAGGTATCCAGAAAAAAATTCCTTTTTGTTTGTTTGGGGCATACAGCAAGGCTACGGTACGGTAGCAGTGACATCAGCTGTCAACTGATTATTAAGAAACAATTCGGCAACGGTAGAATGTAGGAACCCCATGTGGCTGACAATTCCAAAACGTACATTAAAATTCGGCGTGACGGAAGACTTCTTTTATGATTCGCTGTTCCCTTTGCCTGAAATTCCCTTAAATTCCTGACGATTTGCTCAAAGCCCACGAGTTTTTAAAATTGTTCTTGTTTATTTTTTAACTGTCGCACTCACTTTTTTTGCCAAATGACAGCGTGCGAACCAACTTTCGGTAGAAATTTATTTATTGTCTGTGTCTTTTTGTATTCCACCTGCTCTTCGTCCTGCGCGTTGTCCACCCGTAAAACCTCCTCTACAAGCATTCAACGTATGACACTGCCCACGTGCTAGCTTGGGTTAGTTGGGGTCCTACGCCCTACCGTTTCCAGAAATTATAATGACCAAAAGTGCCTGGAGACAGACAGAACTCTCCCTTTATGTCCCTAGGAGTGTTCTAATGTATACAAACGAATTATGATGTGGGCAAAACACTGACAATTCTACCGTCGATTTCGAAGTTGCCCACCGTGTACTCCACGGCTGAGTGAGAGCAGGGACAATGACTTACGTAACATCTACCTTACTCTCCTCTTCCCCTACCTGGATCCAGTGTCAAGACAGAATCAAGAAAACTGGAGGCGGGTGAGGCGACAGGCGGCTGGCATGACGTAAACCTGCACCTAGGTGCGCCACCAAATCCCCTGGTCAACAATAAACATGGATAAACATGCATAAAAATATTCATTCTTTTGATCATTTGGTAGACAATTACGTCTTCTTCCAATCTTATACTTGAAGGAGGGGTATAATTGGGTTTTCAAAAACTTTTCCAATTCCCAAATAATTTTAAACCCGACCTGCCGTCACACTTGGATTCAGGGTTTCCAAACTACAAACCGTATATTTTCCGCGTACGGAAAACCACGCATTTCTCTACGGTACTAAAGGACGACCATATAGGGTTCATAAAATTTAGCAGTGTATTTGATCCATATTGTTAACTTTACAAGTCACATTGGTAAACGCAGAGACATGACGCTTAATGAACGGCCATTTCATGGTATTTAAAAGTCTCACAATGAGAAACTTTTTCAAAACCGAACTGTGTCTATCCTTCGAGTATAAAATTAAAAGAAAACCTAATTTTCTACGGAATGAGCAAAAAAGTGAATATTTTTATGTATGCTTTCCATGAAATATAATCGGACTTCTAGGGGCATCGAAAGTGAATGGGAAAAAGTCATGCTGCATAAGTAGCCAATTTTTACAAAGTGTTGTTTTTGCATGCAGACGGAAGGAATTTCATTCGAAAGCCGGCATCCTGAGGTAACTGAAATATTATAGCATTATTTTGCTGGTTGACTAGTTTTACAACTCTACTTTATGTCTTCGAAACGGAAACGCATTTCGGAATTTCGGTTGACATTTCATGAGTTAGCCCTCCTACTGTAGGTGCACCACCGAATCCCCTGGTCAACAATAAACACTTGACCAGGATTTTAAACAACAACAGGTATGGGGAGCGACACGGATCTAAACTGGGCGTGTCCCGACACCCCAATGTTGGCATTATTTATGGGTGCACATTCCCGATAACGCCTGACGGACTCCGATCTAGCCGTCTGTGTTGGTCCAGCTCATCGACCGCGTGGCCCCTTTTAGAGGCTAAGGCAAAACTCAGAGTACTGGTCTGGGCGTTTACTTTGCGAAGGCTGAGTAGAATTCTTAAAAAAAGAGAGCAATCACCTTTGACTGGTCAGTGACTACGAGATGCTGAATGTCGGTCATATACGTTAGGCATAGCATGATTAACTGAAAATGAACTCACGTACTGTGCGGTGTCGTGGTAGTCTGGGTAATGTCCAACCGTAGGATTGTCAACGAAATCGACGCACGTAGCATAGCAGTGACGAAAGGACTTGCCAGTGCAGTCACCTGAATGCAACTGACTGCATTCTTGCCGCTTCCTGTGCATTAGGAAAGGACTCCATCGCACTGTCTGCGACTGCGTTCGCCCCGAGTATGACACTGGCGTGAAACAGTTGCACCACCTCGTTCAGTCCGACCCAGCCTCTTGTCGTTCCATCCCAATCATGACAATTTACTGGGCACTTACTGTAGTTAAAATGCATTGAACCGATGTGATGAAATAATTGGTGAGACGGCAAATCATGACGATTGACGATACCCATCGACGGGTGACATATCGCCCGTCATAAGCGATTATGCCTGCATATCTGCAGTGTTGGGTAGTATGGGGAAAGATTTGCATGGCGGACTTCTTCCGTTAGGGCTGAGACAGTAATTAGATTAGAAGTAGTATTTATGAATAGTGCGTCCTGATCCAGTTTTCAGGGCTGTAGGAGAATAATTAAACGTTGCTCCCCTCCTTTCCCATGTAAATTTATAGACGCTTCAACTCCCTTGACATAATCGAATGTCTCATATTGACCCAACTGTGAAAAACTCGGCGCCTCGGTGGGATTCGAACCCACGCTATAAGGGGGAGGCTTTAGCGCAGCCAACGCTCTAACCACCTGAGCTACGAGGCCCTGCCGGACGACGCGAGTTTAATCACATTTGGGTCAATCATCGAATATGTCTTGCCCCCAGACAAGAATGCAGTGAGACGAACATTACTAAGTCGTTGTACGCAGTGTCTTAGGTCAGGCGACTAGGCCCTCAGAATCATTTCGAGGATTGGCTGTGCCAGTTTCTCCATCGCGAACAACACCC